AYMCCSCCMYGGGGTGTMTGTCAARTTTTGGAGGACACATCCTCCTTTTATCCTAAACTGACCGCCCCTTTCCTTTCCCTATTGGCTGGGCTGCTAGGAAGGCAYAGACTTCCTGAACCACCTACTATATATTCCCCCTTGAACATGTAGGGTCATTTCCCCCTAAAGTTCAGACATTCAGGCTGTTAGGGATCTGCAAAAGGCTGGCTGGGATCTGCAACAGACTTTGCACAGACCCAATTTCTCCTGTAATTAGGGAAGACCCATACCCATGAAGTCATTTGTGAATTCATTAGCACCCGTTTTCCCTATGAACCAAAAATCCAAATCCGTGTTGGATAGTTTCTTTCGTGCCATTTAATCCCACAGTTGGGTACCCATAAAGATTTTGTAGTGTCACTGAGTTAGCCCCATGCSTCCAGCACCATCATMAAGTAATKCCTGCTTCTTAATACTACATTGGTGTTTAGGAGTTTTCTTTCCGAATTTTGGTGACGACTCAACCATACTGAAGTAAAACATTCTGAGGATGTGCTGAACAGCGTTTTCTGGCAGAAACTGGCACAGGTGAGTTTGTGGCAAATTTTCTTATAAAGCAGCCAACAAGTGATACTACAGGCAAGGTATCTAGAGCTGCTGAGCTGACACAGCTGCCCTAGAAATATATGACTGACAGTCTATAATTTTGTAATATAACAGCCCACTCCCACTCCTTTTTTTTTTTTTTTTTTTTTTAGAGACAATTTCTAACACGATTTTGAAGTCTTAGAAAGCAGGCATTTTTTATTGCATTGCTGGCCACCCAAGGATATTTCTTCTAATTGGCTGTGTCATGACACTTTACAATGAAGCATTTATTTCACCATAACCATACATATTCATTACAGCCTACTTCCTGGCTAATACATAAACATGATTTTCCCTAGAATTAATTTGTGTGCATCTGCCWCTTRCTGGAAGTCCTCTTATGATTKCTGAGGGTCGTCTGAAGGGGTTTCTGGTGCTCTTACTCACCAAGTGCCCCCAATGTTACAGATGACTTCTCCTTCAACTTTGGAGACCACAAAAGACAGCTAAAGCACAGAGATGGTGCCAAGAAGTGGACATGAACTGTTGACCTAAGGATGGAGACCACCAAAGGCCCTCAAAATCCCACAACCCATTTCTAGAGARGTCCTACAGAGAAATCTGGAGAGCTTTGTCAATCAACTGTATGAAATATAACAAGAGCAAGTGCTGGATTCATCACCTGGGATAGGWTAATCCTGGTTTTAGGTGCAAATTGGGGACTGTAAGGAGTTAAAAAGCACGGTTGGCTGTCTGAAACACTGTTAAGGCTAGAGAAGGAACTTGCCATAAGATAAACACAGSAAGGAGGAATTTGCAACAGGAAGACACCACTTCCAGGCCTGGTGGAGGCTATATCGGGGTAGCACATCCTGATTAACTTATCCGGACAAAACTTCCCGCTCTGGCAAGTTGTGTGAAAGGAAGCAACTACTCACACAGATATCACTGCTCAAACAAAGATCACCCCAAGCTGTGGGACAGACAGCATCTGCATCCTAYAACCACCAAAAGCCCTCAAAACCTTGGAGGAAGCATGTGCAGGAAGAGGACAAAGCCCACCCTTGTTCAGCATGCCGTGATGGCATGCTCGGCCTCGCTTCACATGTAAATTAGGAACACACCTTCACAGAGACTCAGAACTTGGACTGTATAAAGGTGGCACCACCAAAAGAACRACCTGGGACCCCCCCACTGAGAAGCCCAAGGTCAGGAAAGACCATGGAACATCCCTGGATCCATAGATGGCAGATCTTCTGCTTGATCTCTCTCTTTCTCTCTCTTCTCTCTTTTCTGTTTTTTTTTATCTATTTCACTCTCTCTACCTCACATTTATTTTTAAATAAAATCCGTATTTTTTACTTCATCATTTGGTCTCATTTGTSTCTTAATTCAGTCAGAGGCATCTCTCAGTAATAACAGGGACAAGAGGCAGAAGAACAGCCCCGTGAAAAGAGATCTGTGGGATTGGATTKATGGCAAGTTGAGTATGAGTCAACAGTGCTCCCAGGCAGCCAAAAGGGCCAAACATGTCCTGGGGTGGGTATCAAACAGAGCATTTGGAGCTGTTTGAGGGAGGTGATTGTCCTGCTCTACTCTGCACTGGTGTAACCTCACCTGTGTAGGTTTGTGCACCTCAATATAAGAATGACATCAAATTATTAGACAGTGAGCAGCAGAGAATGATCAAGATGGTGAATGGCYTCAACTGCAACCTTTACAAAGAGTGGCAGAGGCCACTTGATTTCTTCAGCTTGGAGAGAAGAAGGCTGAGGGTTGACCCCATTGCAGCCTACAACTTCCTTGAGGAAGATGTCATGGATGAGTATTTTGGCCCTTAAAGAAATGCCTTCAAAATTATTAGCGAAAGGAGGTTTTAATATGTATTTGTGAAAGCATGACTTAGTGGCAAATTTCACCCTATCACAACATAGGTAAGGCTTATAAAAGAAAACTGGATCAGAGCCTATTTAAAGTAATTTTCACWGAGTCTGGGATACAAAAGGATAAGAATGTTAAAGGATAAGGGAGACTCACCCATTGGGTCACAATAAYCAGAGTGGATTCGTTTGCCAAACCTAGTCTCAAGTGTTCCACTCRGAGTGGAAAGCTGGGAGATTCAGTCCACTGAGATTCCAGGAGAGCTCCAAGGGTCTCACTTTAAACTCCTGTTTATAGGGCTGCARAATGCTTGGCTTTCATCACCTGTCAATCTCCAGGATGATTCAGGCACTTAATGTTCCAMGGCTGTCAGGGCATGACTGTCTATCTCTTACCCTTTGTTAGGCAACAAAACCTTCTAAGRACAGTGCCTTCCCACCTTAGTCATGCATGAGTTTCTGATGAGATTGAGGGAAGCTTCATTCCTGAGTCATTCCTCAAGGCTTAGTCCCAATGAGAATTCCTGAGATTGTAGAGCAGCCTGAGGAGGGCAGGAAATGCATCACAAAAGGGAGCAGTGGCGGAGGAGGAGGTGCTGATCTCCTCTCCCTGGTGACCAGCAGTGGGAAATGCAATGCAGCTGTGTGAGGGGAGGTTCAGACTGGACATTAGGAAAAGTTCTTCAGTGAGAGAATGGCCAGTCAATGGAACAAGGTCCCCRAGGAATTGTTTGTGGCTGCAAGTCTGTCAGAATTCACTGAGAACCTGAACACTCTTTTTACTATGGTTTGGTTTTAGAAGTCCTGTGAGGAGCAGGGAGTTGGTGATTGTTACTATTTCCTTCCAACTTGAGCTATTCTGTGATTCTATGATCTGAAAATCAGTTGCTACAGAGTTGAATATCCTTCTCAACATGCCAGATGGGTTTCGAGAGCCTGTGCAAATGAGGGATTTAAACTTGTTTCTGTTCTAAGACAAACTCAATATCATGCTACATTTCTAATTACCCTTCCACACACCCTCACACTTTTACAGGCACTGCACAACTTCAGTTTCAGCAGAGATATCAGGAATCTGTTGCAGATGCACTTGGTGTGCTAATCGTGTGTTGCTTCACTTGTTGCCCAAGGCTTTATGGTTTCCTTAAGGGCCAGTCAGTGCTTAATCTTTTGGGAATCCTTGACYTTTGCCTTCTCCAGATTCCAAGCTGTCAGAGCACTCTTCTCAGCCCAGTGCTGTTGGTGTGGTGTCCCTTCCTCCACTGTCAGGYATGACCTCCCCTCGATGAAGTATTATACTTGCAAGGTATTCTGGGCAAACCAGGTGTGACCAAGCACTCTTTGAGTCAAGTTGTCTGCCCCCCAGCTTGAATTTTCTCACCTTTTGTGAGCATAACTGATGTCCTCAGATAACTTCCAGCAATGGGAGTTCCTTAATGAAAAGCTTTGTTTTCCTTAACTGATAAGATTCGCCCAAATCACTCAAGCATTGTGTAAGTTACATCCCCTAATAAATATGCATTAGGTAGGCAGAGACTGTATATTAGATAGATGGGTTCATGTGAATTTTACCATATAAAAGAGATGACTTTTTGCCCCTTGGCATGCTTGATTTYTGGAAAGCTCCACTTTGCTCCCTGCA